TGGGTTTTGAACTTTGTAATACCGCAACACTTATGTGGGTGTAGCGGAGCTGCAATACCTGGTATAGGTATCTCTGCCAAATCCTCTCGAAGCTGGAACAACTGTTTTTATTAATCCAAATGCAGCCTTTTCTGTACAGACCCTCAATTTATACAGTGCCAGTCCAGGTGTCTCTGCATCTGGGAGATAATTGAGTTGCTGTCCGCTAAACTGATTATCTCAAGCATACAGAGTGCCAAACACGAAAAACACCCCCAAAATACTGTGAAAACACACAGGAAACCCACATATCATACATCCCCAGATAGCTGTGGTCTGAGTGCCCATGTTGGTCAAATAGCGCCCAGATCCTTAAAGAATTCAAATTGCCACCAGTGTAAAGTTTTGACCAGCCCACACAAGGACTTGGCCCAAAATAGTTCCAGAGTAATCAGGGTTTTGGCTGGTCAAATAGCGGGAGCTCTTGTGGCTTAACGAAAGGGGGCTCACCTTGGTACTCAGGGAGCGATTGTTCCAATTGTTCTAATAAGTCTATAGTACCTTCCCAACAAATAGCGCTCTACTGGCAGGTTGGCACGGGGGCTAAAACAGTGTGTCAAGGTTATTGTGAGCTGCAAAGTCAAGTAGCTGTGTATGAGTTCCAGCAGATTTGTGGCTAAGTACCGTTGGAGACTGTTTGGGAGTTTGGAAACCGAACAACTGCTAGGGAGGGCGCTTTTGGCAATAGATGTTCGGAAAAGGGTAAAGTACTGAACCAGGGGGGCAATGAACAGTTAGTTTTGGAAAAAGTAATGGATACATGGACAGGATTCGCCATAGTGGGCACATTGATTGATTGGTGAGTTTTTCTTCATGTATACTTGGTTATGAAGGGTTATATATGGTCTCGAAAAACTTTGTGAAACTTTTGTGCCCTACAAGCAGAGGCAACTTACCCGTAACTTTGAAACCGGAGTCAATGCTCCGTGCACTTGTGAACCAAGACACCAAGGTGCAGCCTACCAGAGACAGCGTGGGGGAAAGATGGCCGCTTTCCTCCTGCAATCACAGGACCAGTCTGATTGAAAATCTCCTACCCCCCTGTAGACCGGTGGGGGTTTTCCCGTTCCCGTTCGTCCCGAACTGCCGCAGACTAACCTGCCCTGGAAGACCCTGCACTACTCCTGAACTGATCAGGTGCGGAGGGATCCAAGATGGCGGACGTACATGGCTGTTACTCACGCAGCCTAAATCAACTACAGCGTGGCACAGCAGACCCTAGCACTACAGCACCAGACATGCTTGACACAATCTTCGCAAGGTTCTGGGATAAGCTGCTAAACCGCGAGCGACAAGCTAAAACCCTGCGGTTGTCACATATGGGAGCACAAGATGGCGGCGCCAAGAGGAATGGGAAACTTCTCAAGGGCGCTAACTTGTCCCAAACTTCCACTACCAGTGCACGCTGCCCACCTAGGCTGAGAGCAAAGATGGTTTCGACCAGAAGGTACCGGCCACACACGCGAAGGGCTAGAAGACGCCATTGGGGTCCCAAATTGCCACCAAGCAGCACCCACCGCACCATCCCTAATGGAAAGATCCTGGACCTCACAGGACTCCAGGTTCGTGGTACAAAAGTACCAGCTCTCTTTTACAACCCCGGGGCTGGAGGGGCTCCACACCGCCACACTGCTCCCCAATACGGAATGTGCCCTGATGCGAGAAGCGAACCCCACAGGGGCATTGGATGGCTGTCCGGAATACCAGTGGATGGGGCTAGCATGATTTCCCGCAGCCCTTGACCGCCTTCACTGTGCAGGACTCCACTACCAAACCTTCCCACAAACAACGGCAGATCGGACGACATAACCTCGCGACCTCTCTAACGGCCTGCCTGGATAGGCATACCGCTACACGCCTGACCTTTCCAATATACCACACACCCTTACCTCAGACGGAGATCAGCTAAGGTGACCAGCGAGAAATCATACACTCGACTATGTTGACAGTGGAGACAGACAAGCTGGAACAGACAAAGGTCCATATAAGTTACCTTTATGTTCGATTATGTTTGACTTTCAATGCTACTAGCTGAAATACTTCCAATCTTAGATAGTGCTCTAAACCCCCCATTTAAACCTGGGAAACCCGGCGCTCAGGGGCCTTACCCACTCATTAAGCTTATCTAGTCTAAAGAGATAAATCTGCGCAGCTCCAAAGAATGCCATGAAAGTGTTAATGCAGTAAACATTTGGCTCAAATAGCGAACAATGCTAATATCCAGGCAGTCAGCGCGCTTACCCACACACCACCTAGCCTAGCATGTTACATAGCTATACAGCTCACATACATCCACACTTTCTTTGAAACACAGGTGTGCATAACATGCTTCCCCTCTTTGTCACTCCTCTGATCTATTAGATATGCCTTGCTAACTCACTCACTTAAAAAGAGAAATCAAACCGTTGATTCCTTGATTTTACGAAACCAAAAATGTGCCCGACTAGCAAATGCCACAAATTGCATTATCCATTGCAATTCTTTCTACCTTGATACAGCTGTTGTGGCTATCCAAGGCTGTTTGTTAATTTTGTGCACAACAAAAATAAATAAATAAATAAATAAATAAATAAAAAGGATGTGCTGAAGGAGGACTGCCTGAGCTGTGAGGCAGTCCCCTTATTGCGACGGAAAGCAAGTACCTGGGAGGGTGGGGTGTGTGCTATGCTGCCCTGAGTGTGTTAAAACATGTTTGCAGGACAGCATAGCACTACATTAAAGGGTTAAAATTGGCCTTTAAGGTATGCATATTCTGGTGAGTGCAGCCCACTTGGTTTCATGTGCAAATATATTTGGAAGTCCAGGCAACTCCTGTGGCTTTGCTCCCCTCCAAGTAAGTGGGTTAATCCCATAAGAAGCAGGCATTGGGTTGCTAGTATAGGACCTGCGAAAAATGGCAGCGGTGTTGTTGCAGGTTTGTGCAAGATATGATCATATACTGTAACTAAATCCTCAAGTCAAAAATAACAAAACTATAACATTTTGTGAGCTTTGAAATTGATGTTTAGTGAGTTAGTGCTCTGGACAGAATCCTTCGTAGTCTCTAAATTCTCAGGCTGCTGACTCCTAAAAAAATAAATTAAAAAAATATTGTGTGTTTTGTTTGAACTGCTAATGGCCGGGCAGCAGTGAGCAGTGAAAATTATCAGAGAAAATAGGTATTTTGTTTATTAGATAATGCACTCTGGGATAGTTAGGATTCCTTAATGTTTAGTTAGTGCTCTAAAAGAGCTAGGCTTTTGTTTGTAGTATTTCTGAATCACCTGTGAATGAATTTAATTTAACTCCTTAAGACCACGGGACATTCTATACCGCCCTTAAGGAAGCGGCTCTAAACGCCGCAGGGCGGCAAAGAATGTCCCCGCGATCTTATGTACTTACCCGGTCGCCCGTGATCCCACGCCGGCGATCGCGGTATGGGGACTTACCTGGGAGCCCAGGGAGTCCCCCTCCTTTCTCTGCGGCCCCACTGGGCCATGTGATCACGAGGTCCTTGCGAGGACCTCACGATCACATGGACGGCATAGCCTTCCATGGCTTTGCCAGCAGGGGTAGTGCCTGTAATGACAGGTACTCCCCCTGCTGTCTAAAAAAAAAAAGTAAAACATGGTAAAATTAAATAATATATACTTAGATCATATATATATTTTTTATATGTATGATCTAAGTATATATATATATACACACACACACACACATATACATAAATACACATACACTGTCAATGTGTATTTTAATATTCATGTCAAAGTACACGTACGATATTGACTAAATATATATATATATATATATAAATTAAACAAGGGGGCGGGGGGTTTCCATTTATATATATTTGGGAGTCTTGCCAACTCCTTGGTTTTGCACCCCTCCCTGTCACAGGTGCCTCATCCCAGGGCCCTATTTAGCCTTGTACTGCAGAGAGCCCCAGATGGAATTTTTTTCCTCAAGTAAGTGGTTAATCTCATAAGAGCAGACATTAGGCTGTTAGTGTAGGACCTGCCAAAGATGGGGTACATTGACGTTGTGGCAGGCTTATGCAATGTATGATCATATAATGTAACTAAACCCCCATTATTTTTGCCTAGATTAGGTGTTTTAAAAAAAAACTAATACAATCTTTCAACATTGAAGTTGCTGTTTAGTGGATAGGTGAGTGCGCTGGATCTTGTGTTATATAATAAACAAATATGTAAATACGGTAAATATGTTAAAAAATTAAATTAAAAAATAAATATATACATGTATAATTTCGTTCTAACTGTATTTTAAAATTAATATATATTGATATCAAAATACATGTAGAACTAAATAATATATCTATACACATAAGTATATACGTATATATCACTATATATATATATATATATATATATATATATATATATATATATATATATATATATATATATATATATATATATACCTATATATGTCTACGTATTGTGACAGAGTCTATGGGGGGGTAATAGAAGGAAGGTATTTAGGACCCAGACTCCTCCATAGCCTGTACTCATTCACCTTCCCAAGCTTTAATTAGCAGGTCTCAGAGCAGAAAGGGGGAGATACAATCTGACCTGCAGAGAGAGCAGGTCTGTGCTGAGCAGCAACAAACAAAGTGCTAAAGGTTGGTGAAACCAATGTTTATTTTGTTGAATTGTGTAGTTTATTACCCTGGTTTAGAAAGGGACATTTCTTTGTTTAGTTAGTGCTCAAATTTGAGCTAGGATTTTGTTTGTAGACTTTCCTTTCTGTTTTGCTGACGTTTTGAACAAACTGATTGCTGCATGGATTTTTGTGCATGATGTAAATAAACCACACCATTTTTGCATAAGAGACTGTTGTTCTGTACCTGTTATCCTAGAGGACTGTGTTGCTTTGCCCTTAAAGGTCACAAGATGGTGGAGAATGCGGGCAATTCAAGCACCTTCATACAGTCTGTGGGTATAGAGGCCTAAGGTTCTGTGACTCTGCAAACTGAGACTGGTTGTTTGAAACAGAGGCATGCAGGTGTGGTGTGTGGTATTTACCGGGGGCTGAGAGAGAGGGGAAAAAAGGCAAGATGGAAGAGTTAGTAAAAGCCTTGGTACAGGCTACTGCTACCCAGCAAGACACAAACCGTGTAACAGCGGCTCAGATCAGTAGCCTCATGGAGTCACAGCGACAGGCTGTTGCGGCCCAACAGGAGACAAACCGCTTATTGGCTTTACAAATGGACTGCATTATGGAAACACAGCGGGAAGACAGAGTAAAGCTAACAAGTGATTTGCAACAAACCATACTGTCAAGTGTGACTACTCCTACTATGGATAGGGGGTGCCGGATCAGAGTTAATGACTTTTTACATAAAGTGAGGTTGATGACATGGAAGCTTACCTGACAACCTTTGAAAGGATTGCTACCCGAGAAGGATGGCTTCCAGATCAGTAGGGATCGACCGATATTGATTTTTTTTAGAGCCGATACCGATATTCTGTGAACTTTCAGGCCGATAGCCGATATAATTTTCCGATATTCTGTACATTTACCATTTTGGAAAATAAAAACTATTTCTAAAGGTAAATGCACAAAATATACATGACACATGTAGTGGATGCAGTGTGTTTAGACAGGGGAGCTGTGTGTGTTTGTGTAGTGGATGCAGTGTGTGTGTGTAGTGGATGCATTGTGTGTTTGTGTAGTGTGTGTTGAGGATGCAATGTGTGTTTGTGTAGTGGATGCAGTGTGTATTTGTCGAGTGTGTGTAGTGGATGCAGTGTGTATTAGTGTAGTGTGTATATAATGAAAGCAGAGTGTTTGTGTAGTGTGCATAAAGTGAATGCTGTATATACTAAATGCAAAGTGTGTGTGTGTGTGTGTATTTGTGTAGTGTGTGTGTGTGTATAGTGAATGTAGTGTGTTTAAATAATGCAGAGTGTGTGTGTTTGTATAGTGTGTGTGTATATAATGCAGTGTTTGTGTAGTGTGCATTATATAAACACACTACACAAACACACTGCATTATATACACAAACTATGCAAACACACTGCATTATATACATACACTACACACATACACTGCATTATATAAACACACTACACAAACACACACTGCATTATATACACACACTACACAAACACACACTGCATTATATAAACACACTACACAAACACACACTGCATTATATACAGTGTGTTTGTGTAGTGTGTGTGTATATAATGAAGTGTTTGTATTATATACACACACACTACACACAAACACTGCATTATATACACACACACTATACACACACACTGCATTATATACACACACTATACAAACACACTGCATTATATACACAGTGTGTTTGTGTAGTGTATGTGTATATAATGGAATGTGTGTGAGGGGGCATTTTTTATTAAATTATTATTATTATTATTTTTTAGATTTAATTATTTTTGTTGTTGTCCCCCCCCCCTGCTTGTTGCCTGGCCAGGGAGGGGGGATATGACAGTCCCTGGCGGTCCAGTGGTATTGGCAGAGCTCTGGGGGGAGCAGGCATCAAGCGCTTACTCACCTCCCAGCAGCTCCTCCAGCTCCCCAGTGCAACTCTCGCAGCCAGCGTGTCGCGCGGAGCGTTGCCGTGACGGCCGCGGGTCTCGCGAGAGTTACACTGGGGAGCTGGAGGAGCTGCTGGGAGGTGAGTCAGCGCTTGCTCTCCGCCCCCCCAGGAACGCCGGGCTTGTAATGAGCCTGGCGGTCCTAGGAGGTATTATCGGCAATATCGGTATCTGAATTGGCCGATACCGATATTGCCGAAAATATCGAATATCGGCCGATTATATCGGTAAAACCGATAATCGGTCGATCCCTACAGATCAGTGGGCAGGATTATTAGCCCCTTGCCTCAGTGGAGAATCCCAAAAAGCATATGATGATTTGCCTCTCAGCCAAGCACAAGACTATGACAGATTGAAAGCAGAAATCCTAACACGGCTTGGCGTTACGCCTGCAGTGCGAGCCCAAAGATATAATGCTTGGGTTTACGATACAGAGAAATCTACTAGGTCGCAAATGTATGACCTCTTGAGACTTGCCCAGAAGTGGCTACAACCAGAAATCAACTCTGCTGCAATAATCATTGAAAAGGTGGTTATGGATCGCTTTCTAAGGAGTCTGCCGATAGCGCTGCGGAAATTGGTCAGTAAAGCGGATCCAAAGGACCCAGAAGAAATGATGAACTTGACAGAGAGATACCGGTTTGCTAACGAAACTCAGAGTAAAGAGCCTTACCTCAACGCCAAATTGCAAAGTAACAGGAAACCTGCAAAGAATTCTGGTGGATTTAAAGAAACAGGTGGAAAAAAAGATTCTGTACAGACTGAGAGACAGATAAAGTGTTATAGGTGTCAGGAGATTGGACATCTTGCACGTAACTGTCCACAGACTGATGAACCTATGGAATGTAATTTGGGGAGGGGGGAGAAACATGGTGCATTGTTGGTATACACACAAATGTCTGCTTTAACAAGTACTGGTGGTATTAACCATGTCAAATCTAAATATGGAGGGGAGGAGTGTGCAAGCACTCTTAGATTCTGGGAGTGAGGTTTCATTGGTAAAGAGATCTTTACTTCAGAGTGAGCAAGTAGATAAAATTCACATGTTGGATATAATATGCATACATGGTGACACCCACACGTACCCCACGGCCGAGGTGGAATTTGCTACCGCGGTAGGGGTGATAAAACATAGAGTTGGGGTGGTACCCTCATTGCCTTATGATGCTGTATTGGGGCGTGATTTTCCCCTCTTTCGTAAAATGTGGGAAGATACTGCAATAAAACAGGATAAGCGTACAGAGGTAGGAGCAGAAACAATGGGTTTAGAGAATGTTTTCCCTTTTTCTACGACTGATTTGCGGCAGTATAGTGAAACTGAACCCACTGTAGTATGTTTGGGTGAGGAAGGGGAACACAATGAAAGTGATTCCTCCCAAGTAGAAAATCTAAGGGAAGAGGTGGAGTTCCATCATCTAGGTATTAGGTCAGGAAATTTCCAGGCTGCCCAACGGGAGGATCAAACCTTGGTAGCTGCCCATAACAATGTTCAGGTAGTGGAAGGTACACCTGTTAACCCGGAAACCCAATTGTCCCTTCCCTATTTTGCAGAAAGAAATAATTTACTTTACCGAGTAGAGAGGAGGGCGGGTTGAAGAGGTTGAGCAATTACTGGTACCTCAATCCCACAGGAACCTAGTCTTAAAACTAGCTCACAGCCATGTATTAGGGGGGCATCTTGGGATTGAAAAAACCAGGGAGAATGTACTAAGATTTTACTGGCCAGGAATCTACTCTGCTATAGAACGATTTTGCAAGTCATGCCCAGAATGCCAAAGAAAGGCTCCATTCTAAGCTTTCCGTAATCCCCTTGTTCCTCTTCCCATTATAGAAGTCCCATTTGAAAGAATTGCTATGGACCTGGTTGGTCCTTTACTAAAATCCGCTAGGGGGCACCAATATATATTGGTAGTACTAGATTATGCTACCCGCTATCCCGAAGCTATACCTTTAAGAAATACCTCAGCTAAAACCATTGCCAGAGAGTTAATGTTTATGTTCAGCCGGGTTGGAATACCTAGAGAAGTACTTACAGACCAAGGTACTCCTTTTATGTCACGAGAGCTATGTAACTTGAAGATTAGACAATTGAAAACTTCAGTGTATCACCCAGAAACTGATGGGTTAGTGGAAAGATTTAATAAAACCTTGAAAGCAATGCTCCGTAAGGTAATTGATAAAGATGGTAAGAATTGGGATCGGTTGCTCCCATATCTAATGTTTGCTATCAGAGAAGTTCCACAGGGTTCTCACCTTTTTGAATTGTTATATGGCAGACATCCTAGAGGTCTCCTTGATGTTGTGAAGGAAACATGGGAACAGGAACACACGCCCCATAGGAGTGTTATTGAACATGTGGCACAAATGCAGGATCGCATTGAGGCCATAATGCCAATTGTCAGGGAAAATATGGAGAGAGCACAGAAAGCTAGTTATAACTGGAATGCTAGACTTAGGGTCTTTCAACCCGGAGACAGGGTTCTGGTACTAATCCTCACAGTAGAAAGTAAATTCCTTGCAAACTGGCATGGCCCATATGAGATCATTGAACGAGTCAATGAGGTGAATTATAAGGTGAGACAACCTGGTAGAAGAGAGCCTGAACAAATCTACCATATAAATTTGCTTAAACCCTGGACAGACAAAGAGGTCTTGATGGCCATGACAAAGTTCCTCTGACCAAAGTACCAGAGGTTAACATTGCTGACACTCTAGCACCTCATCAGAAAAATGAGGTCCGAGAGTTTGTTGCTAGAAATCGGTATGTGTTTGCTCCAGTACCAGGAAAGACTCCTGTTATTAAACATGACATAATTACGGAACCTGGAAAAAGGGTTAACTTAAAACCCTACCGAATCCCAGAGGCCAGAAAAGAAGCCATTAAAGCAGAGGTCCGAAAGATGCTTGAGCTAGGGGTTATCGCGGAATCACAAAGTGAATGGAGTAATCTTATAGTGTTGGTACCCAAGCCAAATGGAGAAATCAGATTCTGTAATGATTTTAGAAAATTAAATGAGATCAAAATTTGATGCTTATCCCATGCCTAGGCTTGATGACCTAATAGAGAGATTAGGACAATCCAGATATCTGACTACATTAGATCTGACTAATGGTTATTGGCAAGTTCCCTTAACAGAGCGGGCCAAAGAGAAAACTGCTTTTTCCACACCAGAAGGTTTATTTCACTGTAAAGTCTTACCTTTTGGGTTGCATGGTGCACTTGCCACCTTCCAAAGAATGATGGATAGAATCCTTAGACCCCATAGTGAATATGCGGCTGCCTACCTTGACGATGTGGTTATACACAGCACAGATTGGGAAACACACCTTCCCCGAGTTCAGGCAGTAATAAAGTCTATACGAGATGCAGGTCTAACTGCCAATCCATCCAAATGTACGATAGGTTTGGAAGAGGCTAAGTATTTGGGCTACACTATTGGGAGGGGTCTTCTGAAACCACAGAAAAGTAAGGTAGATGCTATTTGGGATTGGCCACGTCCTATGACAAAGAAACAAGTCAGGGCATTTCTAGGCTTAGTGGGCTACTACCGTAGATTCATACCTAACTTTGCTACGATCGCAAACCCGTTGACAGAGATAACTTAGGCAAAAGGCCCTGTTATGATAAAGTGGACTCCCGAGGCAGAGAAGGCATTTAGTACCCTGAAGGAGGTTTTGTGTGCTGACCCAATTTTGGTTGCCCCAGATTTTACGAAAGAATTTGTGGTACAGACAGATGCGTCTGATGTGGGCCTAAGAGCGGTTCTTTCTCAAGTACACAGAGGAGAAGAACATCCCATTTGTACCTGAGCAAAAAGCTGAATCCCCATGAACAGAGATACTCAGTGGTTGAGAAAGAATGTTTGGCCATAAAATGGGCACTAGAAACACTTAAGTATTATCTATTGGGGAGAAGGTTCAAACTTGTCACAGATCATGCGCCCTTGACGTGGATGAGACAAAACAAGGAAACAAATGCCAGAGTAACTAGGTGGTTCCTTAGTCTTCAGCCATATAACTTCTCTATGGAGCATAGAGCTGGTAAAGACCAGGGGAATGCAGATGGTTTATCCAGAGTCCATTGTTTGTGGTCAAAGGTCGCTACGACCGATGGGTCTAAGCTGGCGGGGAGGATATGTGACAGAGTCTATGGGAGGGTAATAGAAGGAAGGTATTTAGGACCCAGACTCCTCCATAGCCTGTACTCATTCACCTTCCCAATTAGCAACTGCTGAGGCTTTAATTAGCAGGTCTCAGAGCAGAAAGGGGGAGATACAATCTGACCTGCAGAGAGAGCAGGTCTGTGCTGAGCAGCAACAAACAAAGTGCTAAAGGTTGGTGAAACCAATGTTTATTTTGTTGAATTGTGTAGTTTATTACCCTGGTTTAGAAAGGGACATTTCTTTGTTTAGTTAGTGCTCAAATTTGAGCTAGGATTTTGTTTGTAGACTTTCCTTTCTGTTTTGCTGATGTTTTGAACAAACTGATTGCTGCATGGATTTTTGTGCACAATGTAAATAAACCACACCATTTTTGCATAAGAGACTGTTGTTCTGTACCTGTTACCCTAGAGGACTGTGTTGCTTTGCCCTTAAAGGTCACAGTATATATATTTATGTAATTTTACATAATTAGGTCATTTTATTAATTACAATTTGCAGAACCTGCCTGACAACCCAGGCCAAAATTCCAGGGAATATAATTTGCTAGCACTATATTTAACCCTGTAACTTTCCAAAACACCATAAAACCTGTACATGAGGGGTACTGTTTTATTCGGAAGACTTCGCTGAACACAAATATTAGTGTTTCAAAACAGTAAAACGTATCACAACGATTATATCGTCAGTGTAAGTGCCATTTGTGTGTGAAAAATGCAAAATGTAACTTTCACTATCGTCGTTGTAATACATTTTACTGTTTTGAAACACTATTACAACGACGATAGTGAAAGTTACATTTTTTGCATTTTTCACACACAAATGGCACTTACACTGACGATATAATCGTTGTGATACGTTTTTACTGTTTTGAAACACTGTTTGTTTTTAGCGAAGTCTCCCGAGTATAACAGTACCCCTCATGTACAGGTTTTATGGTGTTTTCAAAAGTTAGAGAGTCAAATATAAGGCTTGCGTTGAAGTTTTTTCACATTGAAATTCACCAGGTTGGTTATGTTGCCTTTGAGACCGTACGGTAGCCCAGGAATGAAAATTACCACCATGATGGCATACCATTTGCAATAGTAGACAACCCAAGGTATTGCAAATTGGGTATGTTCAGTCTTTTTTTAGTAGCCACTTGGTCACAAACACTGGTCACAAAAATTGGCATTCAAATTAGTTTTTTGCATTTTCAAAAATTAACACTAACTTTGGCCAGTGTTTGTGACCAAGTGGCTACTAAAAACACTGGACATACCCCATTTGCAATAGCTTGTGTTGTATACTTTTGCAGATGGTATGCCATCATGGGGGTAATTCTTATTCCTGGGCTACCATACGGTCTCAAAGGCAATGTAACCAATCTGGCGAATTTCAATGTGAAAAAAATGAAAAATGTAACACGCTATATTTGTCTCTGTAACTTCCAAAAACACCATAAAACCTGTACATAGGGGGTACTGTTTTACACGTGAGACATCGCTGAATACAAATGTGTATTTTATTGCAGTAAAAGCAAACAGTATTATGACATTCACAGTTAGAATGTCACATAGAACTAAAAACATTTTAAAATTCTTATTTTTCCCCATTTTTAAAAGATTTTATACATATTAAATAGTTTCAGACCTATATATTTGATGTTAAATGAAAGCCCTGTTTCCCCTGAATAAAATGATATATAATAAGTGTGGGTGCACATAATATGAAATAGGCGAATTACGCCTGAACAGACATATAGCGCAAATTCCAGTTTTTGTTTACTTTTTGTTTTGATCACAACGTGTACATTTGGCTGCGTCCTTAAGGGGTTAAAGTGGCACTGTCAAAACAAAAATAAGGGGGAGACCTATTGCCCCCGCCGGCCCCTGGGTGGGGGCCATAAATTACAATGAGGGGGGAACCTACTGTCCACCCCCACTCCTGGGCGGCGGGGGGGGGGACGTACTGTCGCTCCCACCCCTTGGTGGCGAGTGGGGGCCATAATGATAATGAGGGAGGGGGACCTACTGTCCTCCCCCAACCCTGGGCGGCGGGTGGGGACCATAAAGATAATGAGGGGGGGGACCTACTGTCCTCCCCCCACCCCTGGGCGGCAGATGGAGGCCCTAAGTCAAATTCCCCCTAGTCATATAATAAAAAGGCCCCTACCTACCCCCCTCACCCTAAAAAATAGTGAGGGGGAATAAAATTACTAACCTGTAAAGTAAAATTAAACTTACCATTTGACGTCTTTTTTTCTAAAATCTTCATTTTTAAGCCCCAAAAAAGGCCAAATAAAAAACCATCATACCCGTCGAACTTAAAATAAAATAAAAAAACCCGAGCACAAAAAAAAAAAAACAGACGAAAAAGAAAAAACCAGAGCGCAAAAAAAAAATCCATCTTCACCCATGGAGGGCTCCGCGCAGACTGAGCTCTGCAGGGCGGGGGAAGGCTTATAAAGCTTTGCCCCCCCTGCAATTAGGCTAAGAACACTCTGATTGGTGGGTTTAAGCCAATCAGAGTGCTCTTTGTCATTTTACACAGCATCTCACGCTGTGTAAAATGACAGAGCACTGTGATTGGATGGCTTGAAATCCATCTAGTCACAGTGCTCTGTGTCATTTTACACAGCGTGGGAAAGTTCTTTGGAATTTTCCCACGCTTTGTAAAATGACACAGAGCACTGTAATTGGATGTCACTATCCTCATTTGGCCCCCACCCGCCACCGTGGGTGGGGAGGACAGTAGGTCCCCCCCCCTCATTATCATTATGGCCCCCACCCGATGCCCTGGGGTGGAGGCCTGTGTGGAGGACAGTAGGTCATCCTCTCCCCCCCATTATCATTATGGTCCCCACCTGCCACCCAGGGGGGTGGGTAACTAGGAGCTTGGGGACCCCTAGTCACCTTTGATTGGGATTTGACTTAGGGCCGCCGCCCAGGGGTGGGGGCAGGGGGGAGCAGTAGGTGTCCCCCCCTCATTATCTTTATGGCCCCCACCCGCCACCCAGGGGTGGGAGGACAGTAGGTCCCCCCCCCATTATCATTATGGCCCCCACCTGCCGCCCAGAGGTGTGGGGGGGGAGGACAATAGGTGTCCCCCCCCTCATTATCATTATGGCTGGCGCCCAGCGGCGGGGGAGGAGGACAGTAGGTCCCACAGGCTGCTCACTGTTTACTAGACATGCCACTACTCGCGGTATAGCAAGTAGGGGCAGCATTTACTAATCTTTACTTAGTCTTAGTAAATGTGGCTGAAAGACCAGTTTAGGTCTTTCAGCCTTTTAGTAGCTAACTCCCTAGTTCCCACGGTATCAGGGAGTTATCTACTAAGTGTCTGCAAGATGCAGCCACAGCACGAATAGGATCGGAGTTTCATTCATTCTAATGAAATTCCGACACAAATAAAGTGCCGAATTGCGTTCTAAAACGAACATACTGTTCTCATTCAGTTAGAACGCAATTCGGCAGTTTAGTCTAAAATGACATGAAGCATCGCGGGAACACAGAGGAAAGGTGAGAATTGTGGGAAAATTGCTCTGACCAGCGGAAATGAAGCACACTTTGCTCCTCTCCTGGTCAGAGCTGGTCAAGCGGAGGAAACCTCCATAAGGCAGAGAGTCCCTACTTTGTCTTATGATTTTTAAAGAAATCTAAAGAAGACAGGAAGAAAAGAACACATCCTGAGTGAGGGGGAGAAGAGGAAGAGCTTAAGGAAAGGTAAGTTTGGCATGACAGTGCCACTTTAAAGAAAACTGTTGCATTTGTTTATAGTTCTTTTGTGCAGTATCAAGTCTGCAGCTACTTTTACCCAGAGATGACTGGGTGACTGTGTTGTGTTGATACACACATACAACCATGCATTCATCGATTTCTGACAAGTAGGTACTCAACCGGATTTAAATTTCAGAATTCTTTTCTGCTCCTATAATTCATATATAAAAAGCAGGAGCACAAAAAACAAAAAATTTGCGAGGAATTTCATCAGGATCCTTTTGTATTCCTGTCTTTTTAAATGGATTAATCCGTTAATGTCGTTACGGCTTTCCATGCCATCCCACTTTAAATGGGTTTTAAAGCCGTTGCGACGGCATGGAATGCCGTTACAGCTTTAAGCCCCAGCTCTCTACTCACCTCCGCTGCGATTCTCTTCTGGGGGACTGCCTGACAGCCCAAGCAGTACCCCCGCAGTAAACTAGGACCCTGGGGGCCATGTGATTTGCCCTGAAAGCACAATCACATGGCAGGCATAGCTTTATATTGATAGTTATGTATATATCAATATATGAACATGTAAGTACATGTGTATGTATATGTGGTTATGCGTTTGTATATACATATATTATATATATATGTGTGTGTATAAAGTGTACCATCTTTTGCACTGTCTGCTTGATTTTTTTTTTTTCTCCCTCTCCCCCTCACTTTGATCTTCAGAAAGATATGTATGACCCTCTGCAAGAATGTTGTCTATTTTCTATCAAACCTGTGTCTTATATGCACTCATGTGCTTTAACCCCTGTATCACAACTCAACTTTGAATTCTATGTGTCGTCTTGCTCAGAAATCCTTCAGACTTGAGAAACGGAGGCTTTCGCAAAAGCTTGTCATTAAAAAATCTTAGTCCAATAAAAAAGGTATTACAAGATACACATTTTATCTGTTTATATATATATATATATATATATATATATATATATATATATATATATACAAAAAATAAAAATCAGTTCCTGCACTCACGCTGAATTTCCCTTCACGACCGGGTGCCAACCATATGTAGCCAAAAAATACAAAAATTAAAAATTAATGGTTGCACTCACGGTTTTTCCAATTAAAAGTCCAAAGTTTATGAATTGACAATAAACTTTGGACTTTTAATTGGAAAAACCGTGAGTGCAACCATTAATTTTTAATTTTTATATATATATATATATATATATATATAAAATTAAAATAATATATACATTCAATAAATAAATGAAATAAAAATATATATGTACATGAGGGGTATGTTGTATTCGAGCGACATTACTTTACACCAGTGATAGTCAACCTTTTTCTACCTACCGCCCACTAATGCATCTTTCTTGATGGAAAAATTTCCTTACCGCCCACCAGTTTTCGCGCAAGTGCAGAATATTTTTTAGAAAGGAGGGTGTTTTAAAAAATATAAATGTACGTACATTTATCTTTTTATTTCTACTTAATGCATGTTTATAATGTTTTTAACTTAATAAAGTTTAATGAGAAAACAATAAAGTAAATTGAAATTATCTTTACTAGTGATTAATGAGATCCTTGAGGTTGATGCTGCGAGGCTAAATATTTGATATCTGATTCGATTTTCGTAAGGAACAAACAAAGGTCTCCTCTTTCAATGATATTCAGACAACTTCTCTGTTTGCTCATAATATGATTTCTCATCTGTGCGTCAGCTCATCTGTTCTCCCTCCTAAATTCTTCTCCCAACCTTTTTTTCCCCCCGTTTTTTTTCTATTTTTTTAACCTTCCTTATAGCAATGCCCAGTAGGAAGGCTGAGCTAGGTAGCCCACTTACTATAGCCCACTATAACAGACAGGCATACAAACAGACACACACACACACACGACACATACAGACAGGCACACATACATACAGACATGCGCACATACAGACACACACATACACACATACAGACAGACCCAAGGCACATACATAAGACACACTAACATAATACAAAGACACACACATAACACATACATATATAGACAGACACATACACACAGAGACAGACACACACAAAACATACATACAAAGACACATACCCACAAACAAACACACACAAAATATTTTAGTCACCCTCCTATTTCCTACCTTTTAGGTGCAGGAGGGTGACATTCCCTGGGGTCCAGTGGTGGCTCAGGTGAATGATGCTTCCTCCCGCGCGGTCTGTGTGTTAGCTGGGAGGAGTGACGTGCAGTCACTTCCTCCCAGTTCTGTGATGTAATCACAGGGGGCCCGGTCGCGTTGTTAAAGCGCCCAGTGCTGACCGGGCCCCCTTACAATTCACATCCATCGGGTGGCCCTGACCGCATGGGCCACCCGATGGACCCCTTGGACAGCGGCCCCGGTGGTTTGCCGCGCGGGCCGGGGCTGCAAATGGTGACGGCAGTACCCGGTCGCAGGGGTACCGCCGGCTCGCTCCCACTCAGCTTCTCAAAACGAGGAAATCCCTACCGCCCACCTGGAATCCTGAAACGCCCACTAGTGGGCGGTAGGGACCAGGTTGACGACCCATGCTCTGCACAAATGTGAGTGTTTTAGAGCAGTAAAATGTGTAATACTGATGATATCGGTGAAAGGGCAGTTTATTTGTAAAAATAAATAAATATATAAATGCTAAACTAAGGGTTTGTGACCGAGTGGCTTCTAAAAAAGACTGGACATACCCCATTTTGATTACCCTGGGTTGTCTACTTTTACAGGTGGTATACCAAGATGGGGATTTATTTTCATTCCTGGGCTACCATACGGTCTCAAAGGCAACATAGGCCCAGCAAACCAATCTGGCAAATTTAAACGTTGAAAAGGGGAAAGCCCTATATTTGACCCCTGTAAGTTTCCAAAAACTCATACGACCTGTACACATGGGGGCAGGGGGGGAACTGTTGTACTACTGAGACATTGCTGAATACAAATGTGTATTTCATTGCAGTAAAATCTAACCTTATTATGACAAATGTCATGCAGAACTTGAAAAATAACATTTCTTAATTTCTAACACTTTTTTAAAGATTTTATTCACATTCAGTTGTTTCATATATAAATATGTGATATGAAATGAAAGCCCTGTTTCTCCTAAACAAAATTATATATAATAAAAGTGTGGGTGCACTTAATATGAAAGATGTGAATTACGGCTGAACAGACATATAGCTCAAATTCCAGGTTTTGTTTACGTTTTGTTTTGATCAAAATGTGTACAATTGGCTCCGTCCTTAAGGGGTTAAAGCAGAAGAAAAAAGTGTTTGTTAATTTTAAATTGTATGTGTAATATGTACACAGTAAACGAAAATAATTATTTTATCTGCCCTCCACTATTATTTCCAACTGCCTCAATGATATGTAAATGCCTGAAATGTAACTGCCACTTTGTTGTGTATATGTGTACCCATCTAATCTGTTGTGATAAATGTAATTGATAAATAAATAATGACATTGCTTTAGACACTTCTGCAGTTCTGCAAGTTGCTAGGTGGGGCCTCCATGGATCGCATTTGTTGTTCTAGCACATCACACAGATGCTAAATTGAATTGTGAACTGTGCAATTTGGAGGCCAAGGCAACACCTATAACTACATGTTCCTCAAACCACTCCTGAACAAGTCTTGTAGTGTGCATTATCCTGGTGAAAAATGTTTTTGCCATCCGAGTCTCTTAGCAGAACATTTCCCTGAGCATAACACTGCCTCTGCCGGTTTGCCTTCTTACCATAGTACATCCTGCTGCCATCTCTTCCCCAGATAAACAGCGCCCACGAACCTGGCCATCCCCATGATCAGACCAAAATGAGCTAGCCTTCGCTCCCCACATGTATCAATGAGCCTCAGGCACCCTTGACTCTGACGCCAGTTCACCGGTTGTCCTTCCTTGCACCTATTTTGGTAGGTACTAACCACAGCCTAGCGGGATCACCCCCACAAGACTTGGCATTTTTTAAATTCTCTGACCAAGACATAAAGCCACTATTTGGCCCTTGTCAAAATCACTCAGATCTTTTTGCTTGTACATTTTTACTGCTCATAACACATGACATACAAGAACTGACTGTTTACTTTCTCCCTAATATATTCCACCCCTTGACAGGTACCATTCTAAATAAATAATCAATGTTTTTTACTTCACCTGGTTTTAAAGGAACACTATAGGATCATGAATAAATATGTGTATTCCTGACTCTATTGTGTTAAATACTATTTAGGTCCCCAGCCACCCATCGTCTCACTTAAATAGAGTAAAAACCTCACCATGTTTCCAGCAGCCAAATGCCACGCTGGCCAATCGGCATCTCCTCATAGAGGGGCAAACTAAAGACACCAGACCAACTGTCCCTTTAATGTTGTGGCTGATCAGTGTATATAATACTTTTGTAACAGGTGTACTTTCAGTAAGGTAACACATATCTCATTTCAGTGTCTGTGTCAGAGAATAAGTTCTGTGATTGGAACAAGTAAATAAGTGTTATATGGTTTCTACTTACCGTCAAGTACATGGCGAAACGTTTCCAATGTCCCATGATGCTCCAATTTCTGGTAAAGGGCTCCTTTGTTTTCCTTACATGTTTTTCTAACAAGTAAAGCCTGGCATGGATAAAAGAGCATTATGTGAGAACTATCTTACTATAATTATTTGGAGAAACACAAATCCCGGATACATTACATTCCACTGTCTCATTGACATTCCCCTGCACACTGGGTCCTTTTTTACTAAATATTGAATCATTGTGGATGAAAATTCAGAGTTTAATAGTTGTTTAAGAGTTGTAACATAGAACATGTTTTGTAACTTTGCAATTTACGGTAAGTTGGTATAGTTCACTGTCATGAGAATAAGTCCCTATATGATGTTGACAAGTGCTAAGGTGGATGCATCCAATTGCAGGTTAGAGAGGTGTGGATTTCTACATTTTCATTTTATTTTTCACACTTCATAAAATCATGTTTGTTAAAGCAGCATTGTTACTGTCTGGGAACTTTGCTGAATTCACAAAGACCCCCATATAATGATATTACCGCTGGGGATCTGGAAGTGTGTGTGTGTGTGTGTGTGTGTGTGTGTTGAGGGAGGGGGGAGTGCAGGTAAAGGTGTGTTTTACTTGCCTGTTACTCACAGTCACCACCATCTTCCTCGGCCTACTCCTCTTCAGAGTGCCAGGAGCTGTAGATTCTGCATTACTCTCGCAAGTTCAGAATTGAGGACTATAAAGGATCCCGCAAAACTGCAGGATCCTCTGTAGACACAGCCAGTTTTCTGCAGCCTTTACTGGCCACCAGAACAGAAAGTCAGAGGGAGAAGAAATACAGAGACAAAGTAGTTCCTACTTTGCCTCTGTATATCTCTTGACTCAGTTAAAATTTCATTTAGTAGGGGAATATCAATAGGACAGTGGAATGAATTTCAGTGAAATTCCAGTACTGTCAAAAAGTATTTCACAAAGATTATATCTTTGGGGTGGGGGTGACAGTGCTGCTTTAAATGTAGGGGATAAGAAAGCATAATAATAATAATCCTGGGAAGTCCCAGTTCCCTTTTCAAATACAGGTAAATGTTTCACGATGCATACCTGAAAAGGGGCAGCTTAATCACCATACCCACTATAGCCCTTTGTAGCTTTTATGGTTCTACTATACTTCAGGCTCTATTCCCAATCTAATATTGTTGAATAAGATTTTTAAAATGTTTTAATATCATTTGGATAAACTTTTTAATATTTTTTTCAATATGTTAAAATAGCAAAAATATATTATCAAAAATATAAACAATTACTTTAAAAAAATTTTCACATTATTAAATCATTTAAAACATTTATCCAAAAATATTAAATTTCTTAACCAACAATATTAAATCAAAAGCTATGGCCTTGATCTAAAGTTACACTATGAGCACCAAACCAACCTCATAAAAAATAAGTTATGGTTGTAGGAGGTCCCTGCTGCTGGCTCACCTTAAAGGGTTAAACCTTTCTTGAAGGACTGTGTTTCAAAGCCGAATCTCCCTTCCACTCTTTCTCTCCAGCAGCGGTGCCGCAGATTGGCTGAGAGCGGTCAGCTGATGCTCTCAGCCAATCAGTGACTTCCAATTCATAAATAGCCAGTTTTTATGTAAGAGGAGTCGCTGATTGGCTAAGAGCATCAGCTGCCGATTTCTGCAAGAGCCTTATGGCAATAGATAGTTTGAAAACAGTTTAACCCCTTAAGGTTAATGAATGCCATGGACCTCCTGGCACTATAACAACTGGCGGTTGTTATGGTGTCTAAACTGGTTCTTTCAAAATGAAACTCTTAAGAAGCATTGCAAATTATTCATTTACAGAAGTAACCATTATGGGATTTTTTTGTAGATAAATCATTTTGAAAGTTTTCTAATACAGGGCTTGACAAAGTTGCCTTGATTCTAGGAGCCAGCTAAAAATGTTGGGAACCAGTTTTTTTAAAAACTTACATAGCTTTATATTCAACGACAATAATAAAATTCTTAAAGGTACACGATAGTCACCAGGACCACCACTGACATTTAAGAAAAAAGGCAGTGTTTACATTGCTTCCTAGTGACACCTCTAGTGACTGTCACTCAGAGGGTCATGAGGTACTTCCTGTGTCAGAGCTGCACAGTGTGCAGTACCTACATTCAGCGTCTCCACGCTCTGCATGGTGGCGCTGAATGTTCCCCATAGAGATGCATTGATTCAATGCATCTCTATGAGGAGATGCTGATTGGTGCAGCATTTTGCAGCCCATTCTATGGGAAAATATTGGATTGGCTGAGATCATCAAGCTTGATCATCTCCGCCATAGAGGCAGAGCCAGTCGAGGGCAGACCAGCATGGCTTGGGGGAAAAAAGGTGAGTTAAAACACCATTCCCTTGCGAACGGAATGCTTCTGGAAACCTAAACACACATCATGACACACACTGACAGACAGACACATACCATGACAGACACACACACACACCATGACAGACATGCACACACATATACCATGACAGACACACACACACACACACACCATGACAGACACGCACACACATGTACCATGACAGACACACGTACCATGACAGACACACACAGGTATATTATGACAGACACACACGCATACCATGACACACACACTCTCACATACCATGACAGACAGACACACATATATCATGACAGGCAGACACACAAACCATGAAAGACACACACATACACCACAAAACAGGCAAACAGACAAACACAGATACTAAATGAGATCCATACACTCACACCATGACAAACAGACAATACCTGTGGGGTCCAGTGGGCGACTGACTGGGGGATCGTTCAGGCGGGCGGCAAGTAAGGGGATTATGGAGGCGGGCGGCATGCTTGGGGGGAGTTGTTGAGGCGGGCAGCTAGCTGCGCGTATTGCTGCCTGGAGGTACAAAAACTGTGATATCCCTGCTTCCCCACCCTCGTGCCACTTCGTGAGACCAGGGCCGGTATATGACGTCATAGTGGATATGACGGTCTCACTAAGTGGTGCGCAAGGGCGGGGTGCAGAGCAGGGACGTCACAGTTCCCTCGCCGCCTGCCTCCACGACTTACCAACATGCTGTCCTCCACCACGACCTACCAGCATGCTGCCCGCCTTCATAATCCACCAGCTTGCTGCCCACCGCCATAATTCCCCAGCCGGTCTCTCACCCGATGGGCTCACATATTCCAGGCGCCAAGGCAAAATTCCTAGGCCACAGGGCGACCTGAATCCTATGTGTAAAACTCTTTTGAAACAGTCAGTTACAAACTAGGGGACCCCAAAGCAAAAGTGAACTGAACTGTTCACTAGCTTGGCTGTAGTGTTTATTGTGTTTATATTGCATCTTTAACAATGAAAGAAATAGTATCATGTAGAAATGGTGTCCCTCAAAAAATAAACTTAATTTGGGGGGGAAGGTGGATCTGTGTACCATTTATCTATCTAAATAATGCCATTGCAACCCAGTTAGTTGTTCTGTGTATTCATACAGTGATTAAAGCCTGAAAAAGTGTCGGTATAGAAACAAGGACAAAGAAGTTCTTGGTGTGTAACATGCAAATTAAATAGGATTACCAGTCCTTGTAATAGAGCATCTCATAATATAAAAAGTGGAAGCAGTAAAAAAACAAAACTGTACCTTTTCTGTCTGGGAGCAAATCTATAACGAAGGGAAAATAATCAAAACACGTATCCTGACTTTTACTCAGAATTCCAAATACTGTGTAAGCATATATATATAAAATACATTATGTACACTTCCTATAGAACACATAAACTTAGGATATAGCAATAATTGATTGCTGGTTCTGCCGATTATTAGCATTTTACGTTTCTGCAGGACTGGAGTACACTGAAAAGTGCATTTAAATACCATGTGATTTATAAATCAAGTGAAAAATACGGACTAGTAGAGGTAAAAAGACAAGAAGAAGTTAAACCCTGGAGACGTGTTTTTCTCAAGGGGTTTATCCGTTCTCAACTGGTTTAACCCCAAAGTTTCCCCCAGCGGCAATCTCCACTCCCCCCATGCAACATCCAGCTTCTGAAATTTCACTTTCAGGAAGTGCAGAGTGCCGCCAGGCAGTGGGGGCCGCTGAATGCAGTCTGCTGACACTCTCAGCCAATTAAAGACTCCCCATTCTCAAAACTGACTTGGAAAGAAACATACCTTTTCCAAGCCAGATTAACCCCTTGAGGTAAGAGTGCCTCCGGAAGCCTCCTGACACCATCACAACTTCATTTAAATTAAGTTGTTTTGGTGCCTGGAGTGTCCTTTTAAATATATAAGTATAGACATTTCTTTTACTGCTTCTCTTATTTTTCACTCTATTGTTCGCCTAAAGGGACACTGTAGGCACCCAGACCACTTCAGCTCATTCTAGTGGTCTGGGTGCATTGTCCCATGTTCCTTAACCTTACAGTGGTAATTATTGCAGTTTCTGATAAACTGCAATAATTACCTCTGAGGGTAAACTCCACCTCTAGTGGCTGTCTTCCAGACACCCACTATAGAGACTTCCGGAAATCAAACTGACCCTTTTCCCCATAGGAAAGCATGGAATAATGCTTTCCTATGGGGAAATCCTAATGGATGCGCAGCCATTGCAGCGCATGCGCATTAGGTCTCCCCCGCCGGCTGATGTCAGCAGGGGAGGAGTGTAGGCGGAGCCTGACCCAGCACTGAGGGAGATTGGGCCTGGAATCTGGTAAGTGGCTGAAAGGGGGGTGTGAGGGAGGGGGTACTGTAGGATTCTACAGTGCCAGCAAAAGGCTCTCTTTTCCTGGCACTATAGAATCCCTTTAATCTGTAAATAAAATATTATTTTTTTTCACTGGACCCTAGCCTAACCATTCATTGTTTTATTTATCCCATCTATCATCTCTTTTTTTGGCATCCTTTGTGAAACTCTGCATACCAATCAAATTTACATTTTCAGCTGTTGCACTGTTGTTTACTTGGTTATGCATCCTTATGGCACTTCGGAGATATGGAATTTGGCCAAACAGACGATTGGCCCAATTTTGGATGAATTGCACTTCAGGTGAAACTAAAAAGAACAAGTCTATTAATAATAATCAAATAGTCAATGAATATATGAAGTTTGTATCACTTACATCGGCAAACTCATGTAAAATCGTTTTTTCTGGAGTTGCAAATGTCTCTTGTTGTTGGGAGATTAAGGAGTCCTAAAAAAGAAGAAATTAAGAATAGCATTAGTGTCTGGGAGAGGGTTGGTTCTGTTTGTAGGTTGACCATTACTCAATTATACACTGAACAAAATTATAAATGCAACACTTTTGTTTTTGCCCCCATATTTCATGAGCTGAACACAAAGATCTAAGACTTTTTCTATGTACACAAAAGACCTATTTCTCTAAAATATTGTTCACAAATCTGTCTAAATCTGTGTTAGCGAGCACTTCTCCTTTGCCGAGATAATCCATCCACCTCACAGGTGTGGCATATCAAGATACTGATTAGACAGCATGATTATTGCACAGGTGTGCCTTGGGCTGGCCACAATAAAAGGCCACTCTAAAATGTCGCAAGTTTTGAGGGAGTGTGCAATTTTCATGCTGACTGCAGGAATGTCCACCATAGCTGTTGCCCGTGAATTGAATGTTAATTTCTCTCCCATAAGCCGTCTCCAAAGGCGTTTCAAAGAATTTGGCAGTACATCCAACCACCCTCACAACTGCAGACCTTGTGTAACCACACTAGCCCAGGACCTCCACATCCAGCATCTTCACCTCCAAGATCGTCTGAGACTAGCCACCCGGACAGCTGCTGCAACAATCGGTTTGCATAACCAAAGATTTTCTGCACAAACTGTCAGAAACCATCTCAGTGAAGCTCATCTGCATGCTCATCGGGGTCTCAACCTGACTGCAGTTCGTCGTTGTAACCGACTTGACTGGGCAAATACTCAGATTCGATGGCGTCTGGCACTTTGGAGAGCTGTTCTCTTCACGGATGAATCCCAGTTTTCACTGTACAGGGCAGGTGGCAGATAACGTGTATGACGTTGTGTGGGTGAGTGGTTTGCTGATGTCAACATTGTGGATCAAATGGCCCATGTTGGCGGTGGGGTTATGTGATGGGGAGGCGTATGTTATGGACAATGAACACAGGTGCGTTTTATTGATGGCATTTTGAATGCACAGAGATACCGTGAGGAGATCCTGAGGCCCATTGTTGTGCCATTTATCCACGACCATCACCTAATGTTGCAACATGACAATGCACGGCCCTATGTTGCAAGGATCTGTACACAATTCCTGGAAGCTGAAAACACCCCAGTTCTTGCATGGCCAGCATATTCACCTGACGTGAATTAAGCATGTTTGGAATGCACGGGATCGGCGTATACGACAGCGTGTTCCAGGTCCTGCCAATAACCAGCAACTTCACACAGCAAGAGGAGTTGACCAACATTTCACAGGGCACAATCAACAACCTGATCAACTCTATGTGAAGGAGATATGTTGCACTGCGTGAGTCAAATGGTGGTCACACCGCCCACTTATAGTACCGTTCTGGGAGCAAATAGCTGCCATGGTGGCCATGTTCACGGACAATGTCCCACCCTTCCGGCCCGCCCCGTACCTCCTACACCACACGACAACCCCCATATCACACTACAAACGCTCCCTGACCATCCGAATCCTTAACGTCGCAAAACACCTAATACCTTTGTACTGGAAAAAAGACACGACCCCAACACTCTCCCTGTGGTTTACTAGAATGGAGGAGTTACGAGTCACAGAGGAGATCTGGTATTCAGCCCAAGACCGAACGCAGACATACTTAGACACATGGACACCCTGGTTGGCACGGGTGGGTACAGAGGCATTTCGGACTATGCCATTGACCATGGGGGAAGGAACCGATAATCCCCAGGAGGAGACGCTGGGAGACTAGCGGGACGATCCACACCTGGCCCAAAACGCGATACCTCACCCCCGCTAGGGTGCGACTACTTCCGGGGCGGACTGCAGCCTCGCGAGTAAAGGGGGTGGAAGAGCGCCTGTTTTGTGAGCTATAAAGCTCATTAGTTTGGAGGGAGTCGCAGGATGCCCCTTAGGTTATTCCCACCAACACCACCTATGCCGCTGGGCAGAACCAAAGTATACTAAGGCAGGGGGCCAACACCCCACAATATGGTCCAGGTAGGACCCTGGACACAAGGTCACTGGGGGGCTGCGCGTCCTGAAGGGACCCTACACACCAGATGTCCACATGTCTCACTACTTACTAGAGGGTAGGCATGGGGAATAGACAAACAAAACACAACCACGGTGGGGCATGCAAAACCACCCAACGTAGAAATGGTACATATCAAATATAACAGAGTACTAAGCACCACCATGTAACACCGGACCTGCGAGTCCACAATACACATGCTATTTACTCAAGAAAGCGACCTGCGAGTCGCCCAGTCACGTATGTCATCACATGCCTTCCGATGTATAAGCTTCTGTGAATGACCAGAGGGACCTGCGAGTCCACGTTTCTCTTTGACATGTTGCAAAATCAACAAAAACGAAAAGGTATAATAAAAAGATATTTACAAAAAAAAAAATGGTGGTCACACCAGATACTGACTGGTTTTCGAACCGTCCCGTACCCACCCCAATACAGTAAAACTGCCTATTTTAGAGTGGCATTTTATTGTGGCCAGCCTAAGGCACACATGTGCAATAATCATGCTGTGAGGTGGATGGATTATCTCAGCAAAGGAGAGATACTCACTAACACAGATTTAGACAGATTTGTGAACACTATTTGAGAGAAATAGGCCTTTTGTGTTCATAGAAAAAGTCTTAGATCTTTGAGTTCAGCTCATGAAAAATGGGGGCAAAAAAGTGTTGTGTTTATAATTCTGTTCAATGTATGTAGTTTAGTAACAATACTTGGATCTTGGACGTGGTTTAAGAGTTTTGTACAGGCATACATTGTGTACACGTCCCCATGGACCCCATATTATTGGTTCATCAATCCTGTTCTTACAAATGTTATATGTTAGGACTCACATTCTGCTCTATACAGGGACCGCCTGACATACTTTCTATGTATTCAGCAGCCAGAAGAAGTAGTTCTATTCCTGAAGGTAAATTGAAAAAACATATTTTACTTATGCACACATAGGGAAAAATATTAAAACCATACATTTTAATAATATTTTCTACACATGCTAATGGCAGTCCTGTATTTCAATAAAAAAAAATGTGCCAATAATAAATCAGAGATTTTAGATAATACCTAATTTGGAGAGTGCTCACTGCAGAAGTTGCAAATTTGTATATTTTAAATCATTTTTTAATGATAACCCTTAAGAGTCTCTCACAGTGCAGGCCATGTCAAAAAAGGAAGATGTCAGTGGTAAAATATCAATGAAAACAGAGATACTTCCAAAATGTTATCTCGAATCTTTGTCAAAAGATAGTCCTACAAATTGATGGAATCAAGTGAGGAATGATGGGTATGTCCATGTCCAGATATTTTCTGTGACATAGGCCTTGTAGTAAAACCTTTGAACTGCCATGTCAAATGCCATGTTGATTGCCCTTCTTGATCATTTTGTAATGATTCACACTGAAGTATGTATTTTAGTTTTAGTAGTGTTTTTGCAATTTCTACATAGCATGCATAAATGTGTAATGCAGGGATGCACAGAATCGGGGGGTTAAATGTATAAAGGTGCACATAGCCAGATGATTACATGTATATATTAGTGAATGTATCAGGTTTTTGTGCATGCTTATTACCTACCGGCAGGTACACGGTGACCCATTTGCGATGGCTCATCATGCGTTAGATGTTGAGAAATAGCTCCCTTTTTTTCCTTGCGTGATTTTTTTACATGTACAACCTGGTTTGACATGTACAACCCGGCTTTTCTTTTCTTGCTTGATTTTTTGACATGTATAGCCTGGTACACCTCTAATGTCTCGACTTTTCTTTTCTTGCATGTTTTTTTGACATGTACAGCCTGGTACATGTTTAATGTCTCGGCTTTTCTTTTCTTGCATGTTTTTTTTACATGTACAGCCTGGTATAGATAAAGAACGTTGAATGTCAGCGAGATGCAGAACTATCTTACTATAATTCTGTTGGGAGAAGTTTCTGTATATGTTACATTTCACTGTCTTATTAACATTCCCTTGTATTATGGATTCTATTATTTAAATATTGAGTCATGGTGACTTAAAGGGATATTATAGTCACCAGAACAACTGCAGCTTAATGTAGTTTTTCTGGTGAACATAGTCAGACCCTGAAGGCTTTTTAATGTAAACACTGTCTTTTCAGAGAAAAGGCAGTGTTTAATTTACAGCCTAGGAACACCTCTAGTGACCGAACTCAGACGGCCATTAAAGGTACTTCCTGGTGCAGTGCTGAATGCTCCCCATAGAGATGCATTGTATTAATGCATCTATATGAGGAGATGTTGATTGGCTAGGGCAATGTTTGGCCCTGCCCCACCTCCATGACTGAGATTGTCAGAATTGACAGTCTTAGCCAGTCCAATGCTTTTCTGTGGGAATGCATTGTGATTTGCTGAGATGACCAATTCTGATTATGACAGCCAAGGATGCGGATCAAGGATGGGGCCAGCACCAGCGGACCCTCTCGGTGCTGGGAAAAAGTTTTTTTTTGTATTTTTTTTTAAACTTTACTAAGGGGGGGGCTGGGTCTAAATTGTTGGTTCTGGTTAATGTGCCCCTGTGTTTCCCTTTCACACGCAGTCCCGCATTGATTCATTTTTACAGGAACAATAGTATTAAAGGTTATTACAGGAGCCTATGGTTCAAAATATATCTGTTAGACCTGAATTATCCATCACTGATGTTGAATTTTTTCTTTTTTGAAAAATGCAAAGTCTTCTTGCATATTAGCCCTAACATTTGTTCTGTTTTTTCAACAGCAAAGTGCGAATTCTTCTATGAGAGAGTATACAGAAACAAGAGAATTATTAGCAGTAAAGCCCATTGTGTCGTTTTATTCATGGTAAAAATGCAAGTTGCTTTTTGAGGAAAAAGATCCTGAATATGTTCTGCATTCTACAGTGGTTTACAGGTTTGTATATGTTACTTTTTAACTATAGTTCATTAAAATATTGGTAAAACTTATCCGGTGTACCTGTTTAATGGGTTACTTCAAGCACCATGACCACTTAAGTGTTTTGATGTGGTTATGGTGCAAGGACCTGTTATATTGCTTGCTGCCAGAGGTGTAACTCCACCTTTGACAGCCTTCGCTGGTTCTAATGTTAATTCTGTCCTGATTCTTTGAACAGTAGTTCTTTCATTGGTTGAAAATGCTCATCCAGTAAAGGAATGACATAATCACTTCATCTGGCATTAGAGATAGATGTACTCAGGACCCAAGTAAGAAGCAAACCATTGCCAAACAGTTTTGCACTTAACTAGGGTACTCTTGGCATCATAACTTCTACAACATGTTGTAGTAGTTATGATGCTTACAGTAACGGTTTAGTAAAAAAGTGTTTTAATTGATTGTTGCCACTATATGGGTGCAAAGTGTGCAGTGTTGGAGCAATATACTGATTATGTTAGAACATATTAGCTGTCAAGGTCTGGCCAACATTTATCAATTGTAATCAAATCTACAAAGAGCATACAAAGTTTGTGTCACTTACATCTGCAGACTCATGTGAAACCGAGTTAATCGAAGCACTAGTGGACTCTGGTTGCTGGAAGCTAAATGAGTCCTACAATAGAGGAAAATCAGAATCACATCAGTCGAGCAATGCAATAATGCTGGTTTAGTCTGTGAGTCAATTATTACCCAACTACATGTAGTAGATATTAAACCAGATCTTGTTTTAGGGTTTGATATAGGTATTAGTCATGCATGCAGACCCATATGTTATTTGTGCCTCGCTACTGTTGTTCCATGATGTGTGAGATTTGGAATAATAAAGGACTTACCCTCTGCTCTTTACAGGAATCACTGTCCAGGTGTTGTTGATACTCAACAGCTAGAAGAAGTAATTCCAGAGGGTTGTAATCTGAAAGGTAAAATAATGAAACATATTTTGCTCAAGAACAAATATTGCTTGAAGTTACAGATTAAAACCTTAGAGGTAACTGATATTTCAAATTCCTATTTTAATTTAATTGAAAAAAATAGGCCAAGATGGGTTTGGATGTTTCAGACGCTATACAGATATTTCAGACAGTATAGTTGGGTGACCTTGCATTCCGTGATGAGTTCCAGCCACCTGGAAGTTATTTGGTTTGCAAAGTAATTTCAAGGGGGTATATTTTTTTTTATTCCTTTTTTTTTGTTTGTTTTTTTGACTGTCCCTTTTAGTGCATTCTATATAGAAAAGACAAAATGTCAGAAGTAAAACATCCCAATAGCTGAGATACCACCAAAAGGTTTTAATACAAAGCCACAGCCAAAGATGGTTCAAGGGATTGATAAGCTGAAGGGCGGAATTTCATTTGCCATAATGGCTGCCATTCTTCATCATTTGATTATGTTTGCACTTAGGGATGTCTTAATTCTGCTTCTTTTGCTCTTTGTTCATGGTATGCACTCCATCTTTGGGATTACACATTGCTGTAATCTATATGATAATGTTGGTTGCTGTCAGTGAGTTAAATGTAAGTAAGGAGTAAATTGGAATTAATGTTGTTGATTTGGCCTTTTGTTATGAGAAGTTAATGAAGAGAGGAAGCAGACTAGAGTGGTATAACAGATTGGTGGGCATTCTGATTGGATGGAGATATCTTCGTATACCATTAAGCCTCTCACAGAGTTGCAAGCTACAAATGCATTATTTTATTGTACAGTCTGGTTTGCCAAAAATAAAACCCACTATAGAGTAACAGTTTATAGAATTTGAGAAAGCACCAGGTGGGGTGCAAAACACGCCTAGGGCGTCACGTACCGTTTTCTGGGTGGTCTTAGGTGGCCTCTCCTCTGAACAGTAGCTGCGGGTAGCTCAGTCACTCAGTATTTATATATTTCCTTTGGATATTGTGTTATTTTACACACTTGATACTATTTTGTACATATGGTATTGGAACTACCTCAGCATATACGAGCACTGCTGTTACAGTGTAATGCCATGTGTATTTATTAATTTTTTAAATAAATGTGGTACTTTTTCATTATCTTTTTTTTCATCTGTGGAGTGTTTGGATTTACCCATGTGTGCAGACTGTTGTGTTGTTTTTTTTTTTCTGGTTATATTATAGAGTGACAGTTGACTGTAATTGTCAATATCACACTGTTTATTGCTGGAAGAGTCCCACTGTGTCTCAGACCACACTTAAAGGGACACTCCAGGCATCCAGATCACTTCTGCCCATTGGTGTGGTCTGGGTGCCAACTCCCACTACCCTTAACCCTGCAAGTGTAATTATTGCAGTTTTTTTAAAACTGCAATAATTACCTTGCAGGGTTAACTCCACCTCTAGTGACTGTCTACTAGACAGCCACTAGAGGGCACTTCCTGCATCAAAGCACAGAAAAGCTGTGCTAGAGCATCGCTGGACGTCCTCACGCTGTTTGAGGACCTCCAGCATCGCTCAATTCCCCATAGGAAAGCATTTCAATGGGATCAGTCTCGCCCACTGGCCGACGTAATGCAGAGAAGGAGCGGCTGGGGAGGAAGAAGCAGCGACGTGGGACATGTCGCTGCCTCTGGTAAGTGACTGAAGGGGTTTTCACCCCTTCAGTAACCAGGGATTGGGAGGTGGGATGGAGAGGGGACCTGCAGTGCCAGGAAAACGGATTGTTTTCCTGGCACTGGAGTTTCCCTTTAAAGTAGCACTGTCACACCGAACTTACCTTTCTCCTATTGTGTCCACTTCTCTTCCTCTCCCGGAATCTGTTCTTCTTTTCTTTATTTCTGACCTAGTTTTCTTTAAAACACAAGAGAAAATAGGGAATTTTTCCTACACTTGAATTTATTTGACCCAAGGAGGAGCTTTAAGTCCACTCCATTTCCTCCTCCTCCTCCTTGACACAGGGAATGGAGCTGACTTACACTCCACCTTGTGTCAGAATGTCAGGCACAGGAAAAATACATAAGACTGTGTATTCCCTACTTTATCTTATGTTTTAAGGAAAACTAAATCAGAAATAAAGAAAAGAAGTGATTCTCCAAGAGGAAAAGGAGAGGAAACAATAGGAGAAAGATAAGTTCAGCGAGACAGTGCCGCTTTAATATTAAACAACATGGTTGAGAATTGACTATTTATTTTTCTGATAGATCCAATTAAGAAAAACTACAAATTTGTTTTATATTTACCGATGCTTTTTTTTAAGGGGGGGGGGGGATAATTTTGAAACATGTAATATTGTAACACTTAATACTCTGCATTTTTAAGTCACTTAAACGTGATTCACAAAAGTGGGAATTCAATGTAAATCTAAAATTTAAGGTCAAAATAGCAGAACAGTTGCAAAATATATCCCAGGTAGCTATTCTTACATTTGGCTATTATGACCTTAAGTTTGAAGTTCACTTTGAATTCTCACATTTGTAAATAAACTTGTCAGTATATGTTTTTGCGATTTTTTTTTTTTTGCAGAAAAGAGAAAATTAATCCTCAAACAGTCATAAAAACATAGACTGAGTTTTTGGCCATATGAAAGCAATGTAATTGTTTAAAGTGGTTTCTGAAGATTGCTTCCCCCCATTCTCACCATTTCCTATACCAGTGATGGAGAACATTTTTGAGCCCAGGTGCCCAAACCGCAAAAAACCCCCAACTTTTTCCCCCTCAAAGTGCCAACACTGCAATTAAACCTGAATACAGAGTTTTAAGTTTAGAAAAAAACAACTCATACAGTTGTCCAAACTAATTAACATCTTTTGCTTTAAAAGAAGAACACAACAACAGAGAGTTCAATGATACAAACCGTTTTTTATTGAAAAAACATCAGTTCTAGTAAATGAAAACACACTGGTATTCGGTGGTGCTTCACCTAACTAAGGACCTATTCCCACCTATACACCTGCAGTTTGCATGCATCTTACTTGCTGCTTTGGCACCGTTTACATCAGTCTTACATCCGGTTTTGGTGCAGCTTTGAATGGACATCCATTTTTCATCAGGCGTCTGTCCGTCCAGCTGCACCAAAACTGCATGTAAACTGTGCCAAAGATGTGTACAAGGGGATACTCAACTTGTAATATAATCACATGCCAGACTGAAATTGTATGAGGAAAGCCTTACTCTGGGTCCTTTCTCTGCTTCTACAGTTACAGTAAATGTCTACCTGAATTAGGATGAGCAAGATAAACAAGGAAACTAAACTTGCTTAAAGGACCACTATAGGCACCCAGATCACTTCAGCTTAATGAAGTGGTCTGGGTGCCAGGTCCAGCTAGGTTTAACCCTTTTTTCTATAAACATAGCAGTTTCAGAGAAACTGTTATGTTTATAATAGGGTTAATCCAGCCTCTAGTGGCTGTCTCATTGACAGCCGCTAGAGACGCTTCCGCGCTTCTCACTGTGATTTTCACAGTGAGAAGACGCCAGCGTCCATAGGAAAGCATTGTGAATGCTTTCCTATGGACTGGCTGAATGTGCGCGCGGCCAGCCGAGGAGAAGGAGAGTCCCCTGCCCGGCGCTGGAGAAAGCGGTAAGTTTAACCCCTTCCACCCCCTAGAGCCCGGCGGGAGGGGGGCCCGGAAGGTGGGGGCACCCTCTGGGCACTATAGTGCCAGGAAAACGAGTATGTTTTCCTGGCACTATAGTGGTCCTTTAACACACTTTAAACAACTCCTAAATTAGTGTCTTGGATACACACTGCATTAGTAAAAGTTTGCAGTTGGCATGCTTCTGCACAATTAATGTGATTTTTGCTGCTGTATACATGCTGAACATTTGTCAAACCTTGGCTCATACGCCGTTAGTTTGAGAGCAACACATGCAGCGCTCAATTCATCTGTTAGTCTGTTTCTTGTATCAGATTTGATATAATTCAATCTGCTAATCTGTTAGGAAGAGGAAAAAGGCAGCAGTCCCAGACAAGGACTCCCTCAAGTATCCTTGGAATAAATAGACAAAAGCAAATAAATAAGGGATGGGTCTGCGCCAATAAACAGGGTAAATAAATAATAATAAGAGTCCTGGTTGGGATAGTATTGATAAAACGGAGTTCATTAGAGTAGAACTTGGATCCTATTTATGGTCTCTGAAGTTGTGAGGATCTGCTCGTTGCAGTATCCAAATATATAGAAGAAGGTGATGGATGATGAGAAAGATGATCCAAAATAGTAAAAATAGGAGAGGTCTTACTTACAGTTGGCAGAGCTTAATCAAGCTCAGGTGTGAATGGCTTGCAGCGGTATTATCCCCGCTTGCAGGATATACGGTGGGTGTCCTCTTCTATGTAGTGACAGACAACCAAGTGGGAGATAAAAATGGAGACAGTAATGGTGCAGTATGTTCCACAAGTAAAGTAAAAGATGTTAAAATATAGTAGATACACTCACATTCGGTAGAGCTTCTACTAGCTCTAGTGTTGTAGGCATACAGCGGTATAATCCCCGCTTGTAGGATATATGATGAGTGTTCTTGGAGATGGTATCAGGAGCTCAGAGAGAAGATAAAACAGCAATAGTGCTGTCAATAAAATATTGTTGATGTATAAAATATAATAAAATATACTCACGGTGTATAGGGCAGACTAACTGCTCTATGGCAAGGGCATAGGTGGTATAATCCCCACCTAGGATTCTTTGGAGTATAGTACAAATGAAATAAAATAAAAAATAAAAATATAGTAATATAAAAAGATATATATAAATATATAAAAAGCCAGGTAGTAGTCAAAAGATAATGGTACAGAAGTAAAAAATGACCAAAATGTATTTATTAACAGTATTTAACAGCAGGACAATATCCAAACGCGTTTCACCATATAGGCTTTATCAATGGATAAAAAACTTTTCAACCTGGCTAGCTGGGGTACATATAGGTATGGAACAAATTAAAATTGGCGGCAAAATTGCTCAAACCAATTATCTTTCTCATCATCCATCACCTTCTTCTATATATTTGGATATTGCAACGAGCAGAACCTCACAACTTCAGAGACCATAAATAGGATCCAAGTTCTACTCTACCGAACTCCATTTTATCAATACTATCCCAACCAGGACTGTTATTATTATTTATTTACCCTGTTTATTGGCGCAGACCCATCCCTTATTTATTTGCTTTTGATATAATTCACAGCTGCTCACAAGCATAAGATGACCCAAACAACGAAAGAAGAGCAATTCCAAGTGCTTTCATTGTCTTCAAATTATTCGGCAGAGAATTCCACACTTTAAGGATTTCATTTTCAGAACTACCAACTGTGCTGTCCTTTGTCATCCTTCACATTCTATCTTCTTAAGTGTGGCTCGCAGGGCATATAATTTATTTTTCCAGATAGAACTTTCTTGAAATTCTAATAGCTCTATTTCCAGATTTCCTAAATCTAACCAGTGTAAGCAGGAAATATCAAGCGCTTCATATTTGGCTTTATCTGGAGAAGTAAGGAAATACAGAGTTGTCTCCATTTTTCGGAATTGCAAGAATCTGTTACTACAATTCTCCTTAGCAACTGCTACAATGCTAGAAAGTTCCTTATGGATTTCCTGATGACTTGGAGGATTGTCCATAAATATTGTAGAATTTTCCAAATGTATTTTTAGATTTGGAAAGTATTTCAGCTGCCAACTTTCAAGGTCTCTTTCAAAGACCTGCAACTTTCTCTCAAATGTTCTGATATTACAAAACATTCTTTCTGCTGTTTTCCCTACACCTTGCAGTTTTTTGCTCAGTAAATTGAAGTGTGCTGTAAAATCTGTAAAAAACAAACAAAAAAAAAAAACAACACAAAACATGAGGTTGGTAAGCCATGCCGTATCAGTGAGCTGGGGATATTCAATCCCTTTTTTTTTTCTTCCAATTCTTTATTTTTCATCTTGACAGAAACAGTGACTTAACATCAGCATTTTGGCTTGTGCAAAAGCCTAATATACCACACAGGTGAACAAAGTTACATAATAGAAACCTGAACACAAAGTACACTTATCCCATGTGGTTAACTTTTTCACGTCCGTCAAGGGGTTTTTCATTTTTATATTAATATACAATTCTGAACTTAAACTAAACATTAGACATGACAAGCCAATTCACATATTGTTATCACTTAACACTTTGCCCCTGAAAATCGTACTGACAGGCTTCCTTTGGAAGTACCCTTTTTTATTTGGGGATCGAAATAAATGCAGAGGCTTAAGTCACCAAAAGAGGCTCATCGTATGGTATTTCCCGTTATCGGTAGATTGTTTTGGCATGGTCATGGTGCACCTTTTAACTTATTAACCTCAACGTATACTAGCTTCATATTACATTTAAGGGTATCTGTTAGCATTGCAGTGTCATATTGATCTTAAGCTTCAGCCTTCAGATTAGCTTAGATCATCTTTACACGTCATCACGCTAAGGTTAAGGTTATAGGCTTTATGTGTATTACATGTATGTTAGTATATAATGTACATTATGCCCTATAGGGGAGGGTTCTATCCCTTTTTCATTCATAAACAGCCAAATTTCATCCAAGCAAGCCACAAATCTCTCCAGGACTCGTCCTCTGCTCAGCCACCGGAAGTTATTGTACATCAGTAAAGTATTATACTGTGCCTATACCTCATCAAGAAGTGCTTGAAACTGTTGAAAATTAAGAGCACGAGCCAGGATGTAATTCACCATTTTTGTGACATCTTTGAGGATTGTGACGAAGTGCCCTTCGCCACTTGGTACTGGAGAGGCCTGCTTGCCAGCCTCCTCCCCTGTGACTATGACTCTTTGATGTATTTGGCTTTAAAGCCCCTATTCTACCTTCAGACAGACTATTTATGTGGGCTGCTTTATTTATCCTATGTTTTAGTCACCCTGTACCCATTATAGGTGCAGGGTGTGTGTAATGTAATTGTTTATAGTGTGTGTGTGTGTACTGTGTAATGTATTGCCTGCTCTCTTGTATTGCTGAGGTTTGCTACCAACTAGGTGGGTTTGGCTATGGAGCTGGTCTAGTGCCCTCTGTTGGTAGCAACAGCAATATGCACTACCTGAATTGCAAGACTGGTTCATTTGCATATTCGGGTAGATTTGCATATTGCTAATTCTGCAGGCAGGTGAGATATTTACTGTTAAATATTGTCTCCCCCCACCCCTTTAAAAATGTGCCATTGTGTTGTGATAAGTCACTGTGTGTTTCTTGATATGGTTTGACTGTTTGTGATTTTATTGAGGTTTCACAACAATGTTATTGTGGTGACCCTATTGGCTGGTCCCAAGGGAATAAAGGTTTTGACAGTTCTTCTTGATCCCTCTAAACGTAGCCTTGTCTCGTTATTGGAGGGAGCTGTTATAATCACACTGGGGATTGATATGCTCTGCATGCTCCCCTGAGCTTGAGTCACTTAGCTCTTTTAAGAGCTTGTTCCTGACACGCTCTCCTTGGAGGAGGGGTCTTCACCACACAGTCCTGGATGCTGGAGGTTCGTACAGGGTGGAAGGAAGAGTTCTTTCCCACACAGTCCTGGAGGACAGAAGCTGATTCAGGGTGGAAGGAAGACGGCGAGACTCCAGTCAAGATACGGCGGTTGCGGAGTCTGCGGTGGTTGTGGTGTCTGCTGCAGCGCTTGGAGTCCTCAGGAAGCGCTAGGAGCATCCGTCAACGGAGGGTACTCAGTCGGAGTACAAGGAGCTCCGTTACAAGGATATCTTCAAATTTTTTGCTGCTGTCCCCTGGCACAAAGAGCTTCTTGGTATAATACAATGAAATACAACACAACCAAATACATTTGGGATACGGCTGGAAAATCTAGAAAAGATTAGGAAACAAAAAAGTATATAGTGTAAAACAGTTAAAAAATAAATGTGCGCTTAATGAAATGCACTCACAAGATAACGTTGAGATTTGCGCCCAAGAGTGCCTCCCCGATAGTAGTGGGGGGCTAAGATATCCCTCCTGTTGCTCTTATGGTGTGGATGCAACACAGGACTTCAGTGGATGGTGAGAAAAAATTCAGCAGCTTTATTTTAGGATGAACAATCACCCGTCAATGATAAAATATAAAATATGAAACAACAGAGGTCCTTCGTCACTAGTAATTGAAACCACTTCTTTCTGGTCTCATTTCTTGTGCCAAAAAAGCCTCCATCACAGCATTGTGGATATCTGTTCCTTGTGTTCTTCTAGGAAAGGACAACCGTTTCAACAGCTCTTCTCTCATGATGTTACCAACAGCATAAGAAAATTACTGCTAGCCTTGCATGATTATTTATATCTGTGCTTTCATCCAATCACATGGAGTAACAGGCTGCCTTTTGTAAGTCAGTGGAGAGCTGCTGACTAACATCGCTTCCCATGCGCAGGACTCGATCTTTAACAGTATTTCTAACGGGCATCTCAGAAATGCGTTGCATAATTTTATCCTTGTTTGGGAAATCATGAAAAAGGGAAATACTTGCAGCCAACATGGCCATTTTAATAAAATCCCCATCAGAGAGAGGCTTACCATGTTTTGCTATGCACAGTAAAATTTGAAAGCTGGAGTCAGATGATTTGATTTAGAAAGATAGTAGGAAAAACTACGATACTAGGAGTGATATTTCTTCAATTTCTCCTTGAGAAACTTTCTTTTCAGATTCTCCAGGTTCGGCAGCACTTTTGTGGTTGGTGTCAAAGTGACGTCTAACACTTGATGTGCGGGACACAACACTTTCACTACACAGAATACATAACGCTTTTCCATTGCGTTCAGTCACTTCAAATTATTCTATCCAAACCTCTTGGAATGATCTTCCACTATCTGTTTTAAGTTCTGGTTTGTTTGCTGTACTCATTTTTTGGTGTTTGTGATGTGAGGTCTATAAAAACACAAAATTTATTAAAACTGTAAGGGTACATATCGCTCACCAACACAAAGAAACAGTACATATCACTTATTACCACACTACGAATGTAAAGGGTGGAAAGGGTACTTGTCATGTATTACCACACTGCAAGGTTTGACAGTCGTAGCATGCTGGTGAGTGACTTGTACCCTCACAGTCTGGTAATAGGTGAAATGTCTCTCTGTGTTTGACAGAGTTAGATGCAGAGAGAGGACACAGGAAGCTTAATTTTGGCATTCAAATTAGTTTTTTGCAATTTTCACACACAAACAAATATGAATGCTAACTTTGGCCAGTGTTTGTGACTAAGTGGCTACTAAAAAAGATTGGACATACCCCATTTGTAATACCTTGGGTTGTCTATTTTTGCAAATGGTATGCCATCATGGGGGTAATTCTCATTCCTGGGCTACCATTGGGTCTCAAAGGCAACATAACCAGTCTGGAAGATGTCAATGTGTATAAACTGAAAAATGTATATGTTTGACCCTGTAACTCTCCAAAACACCATAAAACCTGTACATTTGGGGAACTGTTTTACTTGTGAGACATCGATGAATACAAATAAGTGTATTTTATTGCAGTAACAGCTAACAGTATTATGCTATTCACAGTTAAAATGCCATGCAGAACTAAAAAATAACATTTATTAATTTCTGAATTGTTTTTATATTATATCAATATTAAATTATGTTTCATATATAAATTTTTGATATGACATGAAACCATGTTTCTCCTGAACAAAATTATATATTATTAGTATGTGTGCATTTAATATAAAAGAGGTGAATTCTGGTTGAACAGACATATGGCGCAAATGCAAAGTTTTGTTTATGTTTTGTTTTGATCACAACTTGTACAACTGCCCCAGTCCTTAAGGGGTTAAATGCTGCAAAAAATAAAAAAAATCTAAACAATCAGCCAATTGATTATGAAAATATTCATTGGTTGGCACACTCTACTAACGTAGGCAGTCCAAAATCTACAGAAAATAGTAAAAAATTGGTTGCACAGTGGTCAGCCCCCATCAGAATAAAAAAATTAGTGACACAGCTGTCCACTTTCATCCGAATAACATTGGTAGCACAGTAGTCAGCCCCCATCAAAATGACATTGGCGGCCCCATCAGAATCACTGAATAAAAATGATGATTGGTTTCAAGGGGGGCTGATCTACTAAGTGTAGCTCAAAACAGGTATGGAAGTAACCATAAAAAATCTTCCAAAGCAGAAAAAACATAAAAGAACACAATAAATGCTAAAAGCAATTACGAGTGAAATACCTGGAGCTAGAATTGGAATAAAATAACAAGGGAGAGAGAATCATATAGTAAAACAGCTATTTATTTCCTGTCTCAAGACGGCATCAGTGGAGGGCGCGGAGGGAGCAGTGCTGAAACAGCACGTAAGTCAGGGCTCCTTCACAGCCCTCCATCCCACCCACCCACTTACGATACGAAAGCAGAGTAGCCGCCTGTTCCTGTGCAATAGGTTCGCCATCGCGGTCCTAGACCCTGATAACTGATTGCTGTGATTCTGCGATTATTATTATTCTTCACACTTTCATTATTACTCTATATTATAAGTTACCTATATGGTATCTGTGCCTT